TGCGGTTTCTCGCAATTAGAACGTACAGCTTTAATTATTATCGGTTTTTATTTACAATATTCATTAAGAATATTCATCAATGCTGGTGTGTATTTATCAAGCATATTCAAATACAACGGGAAGGTTTGCTTATACATTTGTATTGCAACTGTTTTGTCAGAAAACGTTCTTTGCTAGCTTTGTGAATACGTATTTTCGCTGACTTTGAATATTAATATTATGAAACATAATACCAAGGTAACTATGGCAGTTGAGTTGTCATTGAATTATCATTTTACATGCCCATTTTCAGTATTCTTCGGCCTACGATAGTTACGAAAAACAAGGATGTTAAGTTTATTAAATTTAGCTTTCAAGCCCCACTTTGAACAAAATATTAACAATGTATCTATTCTTTTTGTAAATCATTAACACTGAACACAGACACAAATCATTGGCATGTAATGAGTAAAATGATTTTCAAAATAGAAAAAACCCTCTCGCGCCGTGGTGTTGTAACTCATATGTAGGTTGGGATATTAACAGACAGAATGGAAGAGGACAACCTTGCCGAACACCACCCAGAACAATCACATCATACAGAAATGCTAATAATTGATAATTAAACAGTTCAAGGTGTTTAGCTCAGCATATTGCTGCAGTAGATCTCTTTTAATAGAATCGAAAGCTCTAAAAGTGTACTAATACGCAATATACATCAACCCTGTCGGGTAAATATATCCTCATAGGCAGCGTTCGAATAAGCCACAGCCCTATAGCCAAATGCTAGATGATTGTGAATCGGGCCAGTTATATATTTCTAAAGCTATCCCTACTGGCCAGCTGAAAATCTCAGATAATTTGTTCTTATTTAGTGTACATGATTATGATGAAGTCAATTTTATTAAGGTGTTAAAAGTCCGTCCGCAAAAGATTCGTGATATTTATTATATCTTGTCACACGAAGATCGATATATAAACAATGTTCAAATACTAAAAATCACACCAAACATCACACCAAATCTGACCGATGTCATTTTGATACTGATATTTTGATGGACCAGTGAAGTATGATGTGGGCAGGATACAATTTTATTTAACTAACCCTCCTGGCCATTGACTTTTCAAAATTAATTTATACACTGCTTGTAATACAGGTAATGACAGTGTGAAAATATTTCAGTTTTAGACTAGCCAGTATAAAATCCTGCATGATGTCAATTCAGGGTTTTGGTCACTAACCGGCGCATCAATGCACACATACAATATACATATTCGTCAATATACAGTCATGTGACACACGCAAACACCTTTTGTATTGACCAAAATATCAATATTTAACTGTTAAACTGTTAGATTTCTGAGTTAAAAGAAAACATATTGAATGACAGCCTTGTCAATATCAGCTGTAGTTTTGACATTTCAATACAATACTGAATGCATGTCACATCTTATTTATACAGTAGGTAATACGAAGATTGTAATAGATTAAAAAGATGCAGTAAGCAGTACCCACAAGAGCAGCTGTTAGAATCATGAATACGTCTATGATATTGATATCCATTGAACTTTCTAACATTCTAACCTGAGGTGAGATTGACTACGTTGACTGAAACGGGTACCATAGTCATGTTATGTATTTGTACATCAAACATGTAATACTATCAATGATGTTGTAATTAGTGATAGATATAATAATACTGCAATTAGTGATGCATATGTCTAAAATGGACTGTACTACAGCCCCAATCCCCCACGTCATGACCCCACCCCTAGGATTGAGTATGTATTTGAAATCAAGACGGTGTCCAAAGAACACGTCATCTGCTTCAGTATGTATATGAAATCAAGACGTTGTCGAAAAACACCTTATGCCCTAAGTATGTATGTGAAATCAAGACGGCGTCCAAAGAACACGTCATGACCTGTGTATGCATATGAAATCAAGACGGTGTCCAAAGAACACGTCATGACCTAGTATCCATTGAAATCAAGACGATGTCCAAAGAACACATCCTGCCCCTAGGTATGCCTATGATTAATCAAGACGGTGTCCAAAGAACACGTCATGACCTATGTATGCATATGAAATCAAGACGTTGTCCAAAGAACACCTCAGGGCCTAAGTATGCATATGAAATCAAGACGGCGTCCAAAGAACACCTCGCTGCTTCAGTATGTATATGAAATCAAAACGATGTCCAAAAAACACCTTATGTCTGAGTATCCATTGGAAATCAAGACGGTGTCTCAAGAACACCTCATGGCCTAGGTATGCATATACAATAAAGATGGTATCCAAAGAACACCTTGTGGTCTGAAGATCCACAGGAAATCAAGACGGTGTCCAAGGAACACCTCATGGTCTGAGTGTGTATATGAAATCAAGACGGTGTCCAAAGAATACCTCATGGCCTGAGTCCGTCTTGGAAATCAAGACGGTGTCCAAAGAACCCAATGCCCGCTGGACATTGTATCCTAGGATCAAGTCAGCGAATGAGTTTTAAAAAAAACATTCCAGCAGTATATTTTCCGTAACACTGGAAATGACCTAATGACTTCCGCACATTGTAGCCATGTGGGGAATCGAACTTGACCTTCGTCGTGACGAGAGAACGCTTTCACCATCGTGCTACCCAACTGCCACCTTGATCTAAAGCAACGGCCGCACAATAGAACTACTTTCAGGGATCTTCATGGCATTGCAGAATCGAGCTACTTTTTTCCTATGGGACAATGAATAATTTTACACTGGCAAATTACATACATTGACCTCAGGTGTTCGTTAATTCCACCTCCTGCGTAGAATGGTAAAAAATTCCACACTGATTGCATCATATTACCGCTGTTGATTGCCCATAATCAGCATGTTTTACACCGCATGTTGCATCCATATACATAAGTAAAGGAGTAACCGTTTCCTTGGGCCGTGATATAGGACAGCATACAGTTAAAACAAAAATCGTCACAGCTGCCTGTCTCGTTTTGTCCTGGTATCTCGACATCTGATTGTCTGTCCCGTTAAGTCGAGTCCTGATATTTTGGCCTGTTATGTAGACAATGTATGCAAGTCCCACCCTGTCGACTTCTGATAGTCCTGTTATGTCGACTCTTGGTAGTCCTGTTATGTCGACTCTTGGTAGTCCCGTTATGTCGACTCCTGACTACTAGTCCCGTTCTGTCGACATTTTATAGCCCTTTTATGTCGACTGTTAACGGGACCCTTTTACCTTGCATATTGTCCCATAAACTTCCCTTGCACAATACACTACCATTATGTTCCACTTTGTACCATTAACTCCCGTTGTACTAAAAGTTGCAATACCTTTACACCTGACACTAAAAACTGCCGTTACCTTGCACTCTGAGCCATACATTACTTAGCTTTACAAATTATGATATTACCGTACTTACTATTGTACACTTCCGTTTCGTTACACCTTCTCTCCTAAATTGCAATGTACCATTACCTTTTACCCTGAGCCTTCAACTACTCCCGCTTTGCAAATTATAAGATATACCCTCCCTAATTTTGCTCGTTCTATTATCAATTACTGTTACTTTGCACCTTGTATCATAAACTACCGTTATCCTAATGTATACATCAACCCAAAACTGCTATAGCTTCAAAAGTTAACATTTAACTATCGTAACTTTGCACCTTCTACTATTCAGTACCATTACCAAGCACCTTGTGTCCTAAATTAACGTCGACCTTCACATTGTACAATAGTGAGACTAGTGAGTGAAAGTTTAACGCCGATTTTAGCAATATTTCAGCAATGTCACGGAGATGGATACCAGACATGGGCTTCACACACTGTACCCATGTGGGGAATCGAACCGGGGTCTTCGGCGTGGCTTTAACCACTAGGCTACCCCACCGCCTAATTTGAACAATAAACCCCCGCACTAATAATGACCGTTACGTTACACCTTGTTGAGGAGATCACTTGAAGCCGACGTTTGTATAAACCGACACCTAGCATTCTAAAGCAGAATTCCGTTACATATAAACCAACGGCTACAATGTCACGGCAGAAAGGTTGGGTTTTTTCGAAAACAAAAAAGCATCACGTGTTCGTGACAGGCCGCTAATTCCAACCCCTGCATAGTTCCATGTAAACTCTACGATAATTGCATGATATTTCCGCTGTTGATCACACACAATCAACACGTTCCTTGTTAAGTATACACATAAGTAAGTCAAGTATAGTTTTCTTGTCACGCTAAAGGAGAATACTATTAATATTAAACTTGGTTACAGTATTTCAGGTGCCAGTGAATATCTGGTTTAAATTTCTACTATTACTAATGTCAGTAGTTAATAATAAGTAAAGGTTACACATAAATTTATATTTCTGGATCTAATTAAAACAATTAAAAGATAAATAGTTATTGGAAAATACTTAACTTTTATATAGTTTCGTCTTCAAACTAAAGAGACAGTGTGAGAAGAGCCAAATATCTAAATACTTGCCATTTATCGAAACTGATGCCTTTTCTGGGACATTGGCAGATGTCGTTTATTCCATGTAGACACAGAAGGACTTGATTGTAGAAAAGATAGAATTTTGAGAAAGGGACAATAGTAACATGTTTTTGAACCTTTTCAACATGTTTTTTTCTATCTTCCATGTATACAATATTCAAAATTCCCTCCCGCGATTTGTCATAATCCGATGTATTTCTACGGTGGATTTTCAACAGATTGTAATTATAGAATTTTATTTTTGTATGGATAATGACAACAAATCATGTTTTTTTCTCTTCTGGACTGAGGGGCGGTGGGGGTAGCCAAGTGATTAAAATGTTCGCTCGTCACTCCGAAGACTCGGGTTCGATTCCCCACATAAGTAAAATGTGAGAAGCCCATTTTTGGTGATCCCCCCGAAGTGATATTGCTGGAATATTGCTTAAAGAGGCGTTAAACTCACTCACTCATTCCTCTTGGGTTGAGGACTATACTCAATATGTTCTACAATGCCCATTTTACTCTAACAAAGAAACAAACATTTCAGGTGATCTACAACGACCTTGCAAATCAAGTCGAAACATTCACCTTGGCCTTGCTAGATCAATGCCATAGTTCAGACGAGGTCAAAGCCGTTCTGAGTGGCAAGCCAGATCTACCTGAAGAGGACGCTGATGATGATGAAGAAAACGACATCCTGCCGATGCTCAGTACTGCAATACGAATGGAGCAGAAACGGGTAGGTACCTTTATGCTCATGCTGCTGATCACTGGATTGTGTGGTCCAGACTCGATTATTTACAGACCGCCGCCATATAGCTGGAATATTGCTGAGTGCGGCGTAAAACTAAACTAAACTCACTCACTCACTATATGCACGCATCATTGCTTCTTTGACACATTCGCGAATAATGGCTATAATGGGATTTTGTTGTAAGAGAAGAGGGATGCAGATCTATAAATTATATCTGCATCATAAAAGGTTAGGATGGAAACAGTCAGGGAACAGGAAAGACAACCAGGCAGGTTAGTTTCTGTGAGGAAAATGCAGAGACGGTTACCATATTTTTGTGACAAGAGAGCAGGGAAGTTATCCAATAAGCTATGCTTTTATGATAAGGGTGAGTGAGTGAATCAGTGTGGTTTTACGACGATATTAGCAACATTACAGCAATATCACTGAGGGTTTTCGTGATAAGGTTGGTTTGATGTTTAACGCCGCACTCAGCAATATTCCAGCTATATGGCGGCGGTCTCTAAATAATCGACTCTGCATCAGACAATCCAGTGATCAACATCATAAGCATCGATCTATTTGAATACGATGACATGTGTCAACCAAGGCATCGAGCCTGACCACCCGATCCCGTTAGTCTCCTCATACAACAAGCATGGGTTACTGAAAACCAATTCTAACCCGGATCTTCCCGGGTTTCGTGATAACGTCTCTGCGATACCAAAGTATGGAAGCTACAAAAATAAGGTACGTTTCTCTGATAAGAGAGTATGGTGGCTACTACAATAAGGTATGTTTCTCTGATAAATGAGTATGGAAGCTACTAGAATAAGGTATGTTTCTCTGATAAGAGAGTATGGAAGCTTCTAAAATATTGTACGTTTCTCTGATAAGAGAGTATGGAAGCTACTAGAATAAGGTATGTTTCTCTGATAAGAGAGTATGGAAGCTACTAGAATAAGGTATGTTTCTCTGATAAGAACGTATGGAAGCTTCTAAAATATTGTACGTTTCTCTGATAAGAGAGTATGGAAGCTACTAGAATAAGGTATGTTTCTCCGATAAGAGAGTATGGAAGCTACTAGAATAAGGTATGTTTCTCTGATAAGAACGTATGGAAGCTTCTAAATAAGGTATGTTTCTCTGATAAGAGAGTATGGATGCTACTAGAATAAGGTATGTTTCTCTGATGAGAGCGTATGGAAGCTGCTAAAATAAAGTATGTTCTCTGGTGAGAGTTTATGGAAGCTACTAAATAAGCTACTAGAATAAGGTATGTTTCTCTGATAAGAGAGATGGAAGTTACTAGAATAATGTATGTTTCTCTGATGAGAGAGGATGGAAGCTACTAAATAAGGTATGTTTCTCTGATAAGAGCGTATGGAAGTTACTAACATAAAGTATGTTTCTCTGATAAGAGCGTATGGAAGTTACTAACATAAAGTATGTTTCTCTGATAAGAGCGTATGGAAGTTACTAACATAAATGGTATGTTCCTCTGATAAGAGCGTATGGAAGTTACTAACATAATGTATGTTCCTCTGATAAGAGCGTATGGAAGTTACTAACATAAATGGTACTGAAATATGGTATGTTTCCTCTGATGAAGAGCGTATGGAAGTTACTAACATAAAGTATGTTTCTCTTTCTCTGATGAGAGCGGATGGAAGTTACTGACATATGGTATGTCTCCTCTGATAAGAGCGTATGGAAGTTACTAACATAATGTATGTTCCTCTGATAAGAGCGTATGGAAGTTACTAACATAATGTATGTTCCTCTGATAAGAGCGTATGGAAGTTACTAACATAATGTATGTTCCTCTGATAAGAGCGTATGGAAGTTACTAACATAATGTATGTTCCTCTGATAAGAGCGTATGGAAGTTACTAACATAATGTATGTTTCTCTGATAAGAGCGTATGGAAGTTACTAACATAAAGTATGTTTCTCTGATGAGAGCGTATGGAAGTTACTAACATAAAGTATGTTTCTCTGATAAGAGCGTATGGAAGTTACTAACATAATGTATGTTCCTCTGATAAGAGCGTATGGAAGTTACTAACATAATGTATGTTCCTCTGATAAGAGCGTATGGAAGTTACTAACATAATGTATGTTCCTCTGATAAGAGCGTATGGAAGTTACTAACATAAAGTATGTTTCTCTGATGAGAGCGTATGGAAGTTACTAACATAAAGTATGTTTCTCTGATAAGAGCGTATGGAAGTTACTAACATAATGTATGTTCCTCTGATAAGAGCGTATGGAAGTTACTAACATAAAGTATGTTTCTCTGATAAGAGCGTATGGAAGTTACTAACATAAAGTATGTTTCTCTGATGAGAGTGTGCGGAAGCTACTAAATAATGTATGTTTCTCTGATGAGAGAGGATGGAAGTTACTGAAATATGGTATGTTTCTCTGATGAGAGAGGATGGAAGTTACTGAAATATGGTATGTTTCTCTGATGAGAGAGGATGGAAGTTACTGAAATATGGTATGTTTCTCTGATGAGAGAGGATGGAAGTTACTGAAATAAGGTATGTTCCGTGATGAGCTATCCAATAATGTATGTTCCTCTGATGAGAGAGTATGGAAGCTTCTAAAATAAGGTATGTTTCAGTGATGTGAGTATTTGGAAGCTGTCCAATGAGGTTTGTTTCCCTGATGAGAGAGTATGGAAGTTACGCATATATGTTTGTTTCTGTAATGAGAGAATTTCTCTAATGAGAAAGAATCTACTGAAATAAAAAAGAGAAAGTATGAAAGCTACCCGATAAAGTTTGTATGGAAGGTACTGAGTAAAGGTATTTCCGTGATGCGAGTATGGGAGCTATACAATGCAGTTACTCTATAAGTTTGGTTTCAGTGACAAGATAACAGGGAAAGTGGCATGTAAGTCATGTTTCTGTGACAAGAGAGAATAGAGGTTCCCCAATAATTTATGTTTCTGTGAATGAGTGAGTGAGTGAGTGAGTGAGTGAATGAAGGTTTGCGCCGCATTTAGAAATATTCCAGCAATATCATGGCGTGGGACACCAAAAATGGGCTTCACACATTGTACCTATGTGGGGAATCGGACCCGGGTCTTCGGCGTGACGAGCGAACGGTTTAACCACTAGGCTACCCCGCCACCCCATCATGTTTATGTGACAAGATATCACAGAGGCTATCCAATAAGATATGTTTCTGTAACATTAGAGTCAGACACTGTTCAACAGGATATGTTCAATAAGATATGATATTTCACAAGAGGGCAGGGAAGACGGGCAGACAAGAAATACATTCAATACTCGCGCCGCAATGTTGCTGGAATATTGCTAAGAGCGACGTGAAGCTAAACTCGATCACTCACTGACTCATTTGAATGCCAAAGGTCAAGTTTTAAGTGGATCCTGTTGAGCGAGGCTTCTTACTTAGGCAGTTTTTCTTGTGACATGAGAGCAGAGAAGCTAACGAGAGGCGGTACCCAGGATCACTCAATCATTTTTTATTACCACAAGTTTACAAATACATTATGGGGCTATTTTTCAGACATATATCACTTATGAAACTATGGCTTGAAACAAATCCAGCAATTATGTACAGGTAAACTAATCATGTCATATTGACAGACATTATGATGGAAAGAAATGTACATAGATTTCGTAATTGCTTCACATTATGATTTTCAAACAGGGCTGACATTTTAAAATAGGTACGATTGTTTACAAAATAATTCTTTAAAGACACATTTCTGGAGGCATTAAATTTATACATTGAAATGTATAATGAAATTCATCTCCGAATTGGGAGTGACATGATGGACACAATCGTTTATTTGAGGTAATAGTTTCCCAGCGACATGTTTCTATGGGTAATTTATGGCTGGCGGTTTTAAATTTAATTATAATAATGATGATGTGGTTTTGTATCCCGCTAGATTCCATACTCTCGAGTATGCTCAAAGCGGCTCATAGTTCAAAGGTCATAGTGTTCACGGAATAGGAAGGTCTTTAGTCGGGATCTGAAAGAGTCAAATGAAGGAGGGAGTTTAATGTTTAGAGGCAGTGTGTTCCAGAGTCTTGGGGCATGAACACAGAATGACTTATCACCAAAGCTTGTGAAGTTGTACTGAGGAATAGACAGAAGGTGGAGGTTGTCTGAGCGCAGTGAACGTTGTGACTGGTGGTGATTTAGTAGACAGGATAGATATGCTGGAGCCAATCCATGGTAGCACTTGTACGTCAGGCACAGAACTTTGAATTTCAGTCTGGCTTCTACAGGAAGCCAGTGTAGTGATTGAAGAACTGGTGTAATTGGGGAGAATTTGGACACTCTTGACACCATCAGTGCTGCAGTGTTCTGTACTTTCTGGAGCCTTTGTAGTAATGATTTCTTGATTCCAAAGAGGAGGCTATTGGCATAGTCAAGCCGTGAAAGGACAAGGGAGACGGATCTGGCCGATGCATCTCAAGTGAAAGTAGCATGTCCTGCAGAGACTGTCTACCTGCTTCTCCATGGTGAGCTGTGAGTCTAAATAGACACCAAGACTCTTCACTTCGTCCGAGAAATAGATTTCAGCTTGTCTAATACTATCATAAGCCTCATCCACTGACTGAAGTTGACGCTTAGACCCTATCAGTATAGCCTCGGTCTTGTCGTCATTAAGTTTGAGTTTCCTACCAGTCATCCAAGCCTTAATATCCGATGTACATGCTGTTGTGCGATCCAAAGCTTGACTTATGTTGCTTGGGTAAAAACTATCAATGAGCTTGGCATCAGCAGCAAAAGACTGGTGTTTCATCCCATGGTGATCCGTGATATGAGCAAGATGGTTTGTGTAAATGACAAACAGCACAGGGCCAAGGACAGAGCCTTGTGGAACACCAGAGGTTAGTCCGACAGAATCTGATTGCTCTCCCTCGGTTTTGATGACCTGTTGCCTTCTGAAAGAACTGGAGAGCAGTTCCATCTATCTTCATATCAACCGCAAGGGTGTTGATGAGCTGCATGTGATT